CAACATTCTCGTACCTAAGAGGGCATCTCCCTTCCTTTTCATTCTCATAAACCGCAGCATTGAAGTCCCCTACAACCGCCCAGTTATCATCCCTACTACTCCGTAGAGAGCTAAGTTGCTCCCAAAAATCCCTTCTACTAACAGCTGTAGAGGGTGCATGAACAAAAGTACAGAAAAATTTCCTACCCATATCTATACTAACATCCATGTAGTAGTTATCACTACTTAAAACAGTAATATTAATACCCGCTTTCCACCATAAAGCAAAACCCCTAGAAGAGTTAATCGGTTCTACATACTCTCTATTGGGGAAAATTTTGAGACTTCTTCTTTGTTCTTCCATGAAACCCTCGTTCTTGCTAGTTTCCATTAGAAAAACAATAGAAGGGCCTAAACGTCTACATAGACGCTTCGCATAACTTCTTGTAAGGGGAGGGCCAAACCCCCTACAATTCCAACTCACAATACTCATTTAGGCTGAGGTGGCTTCTGGCGAACCACCGCTGCCCTTGCACCATCTTCCAGATTCCCCACCACTTCCTCTGATCTTCTCCCTCTTTGTACCACTTTCTTTCCTTTTTGACCTTTCTTCTTCCTGATCTCTCCTTCTTGCCCTCCCATATAAATCGCCCCATCCGAATAAAAAGAGTCTGCTGACTCAGGCCTGCTGGTTCCTTTCCTTTTCTTCCTGGCCCGGCCCACTTCTCCCTCCAATTCTCCCTCAGCATGTTGATACAGGCCCACTCCAACACAACTGACATTTCCCTGGGCCTGGTCTTCATTCTCCTGGATCACTGGCCCAAGAGTGAGAGTTGTTTGGACAACCCTCTCCTGACCGCCCGAGCCCAGCCCGACCCACCTGGCCTGGCCCCCGACGTCCAGCCCGACTCCCCTGCCCTCTCCTCCGTCACCCAAATTTCCGCCGCCTTCTTCCAAACTCAGCCCCCATTCCAATTCTTCCGCCGCCCTCTCCAAATCGACTGAGATGTCTCTTGCTCCCATCCCTTCCTTGTATCTCCCCCTTAGTCTTCCCATCGTCCCTTGCTCCTCCCTTTCAATTTGCCCTTCTCCCACTCTTTGCACCGTGAACCCAGGAGGAATATGTGGAGTCCCCCCCGCTGTTCCTCCCATCGACGCCGCCGAATCACCCTCAACTTCTTCGCTCCTCCGCTACCTCATTCTACCTTCTCCCCTGTTCCCCGCTTGCGACTCAGATCTTCTATGGGGCGAGTCTACTCCCGCCTTAAGGGCAGCGGTGTAAACGTCGGACAGGTATGCTACTCCACTTCTCTTCCTCTCCTCATTCATTCTTCTACATGTACGCCAGTTATGCCCAATTCTGCCATAGAAATAGCACAGCTCCACCAACCTCTCATATTTGAAATCAATTACCTCGCAATGCTCCACCCCTAATTGTTCATCAAGAAACGGGAAATCGAAGCCTGCTGGGATGGGTTCCCTGATATCCACCTCGACCAGAATGCGAAGAAACCTCCTATACCCAGAATAATCCAAGCTTGCTCTGTCAATGTCCAGCAGCTCCAAGAAGTAGCTTGACCCTATAGCCACCATATTCTCCTCACTCCTCTGGTTTTGGTGCAAACCATGAATCTGAACCCACATAGCCATCTTCTCAATCGGGACATCTTCAGGCTTCCCCCTTCCATTATACCTCTCAATCGCCGTCAGTGTGTTGGACAGGCTCCAAGGTCTGTCCCTCCAAATCCTGTCCCTGATTTCCTCGCTGTTGAATGTAAACAGGAATAGATTTTGGGTTTCGGTTGGTTGGATGTTCACCTCACCGTAGCAACCCCAAGCGTATCGAGCCGCTCATGCTGCCTTTGCCATCGCTACCCTGTTTTCTGTCAGCATCTTCCCCAGCATCATGGACATCCCTCTTCCACCCGTCGAAGACAGAACAAGGCGCCCTCCTCTGCCCCTGGATGATGTCGGGATCATGCTCCCCCTCCTCTGGCTGCTGGTAGCAACGATGTTGATGGATTCCATTGGTATGCACAGAGGTTTGGTTTGAGAAGCAGAGTGTTTTCTTTCACGAAGGGTGTGTTTTGGTAAACGCAAGAACCAGAGAGAAATGGCAGTGGTTTGGGAGATATGAGCACAGCCTTCTCTTCCCCTTTTCCTCCTCCCTTTAAAGTTGTTTCCCCTGCTGTTTGCCTCTCTTCCCTCTTGAATGTGGTAGTTTTCTTTCTTGTCAAACCCTTCATTATTCTTCTGAAGACTAAGCCTAGCTTTCCCCTGTTTTCCCTCTGCCAGTACCGCGGCTCTTGGCTCAATGTTGCCACCATTTAGCTCGAGGAGGATGGCGTGGTCACAGAACAGAGATTTTGTAGGTGATGTTGCCCTTTTCCCATTACTTCTCCCTTCTCTATTGTGGCTGTGGGATCCTTTATTGCCGTCATCTGGAGGTTTCCAAGCCTCTCTCTTCTTTATATCATCTTTGCTTGCTTCAACTTGTAGTCTAATCACTGTGGGAATCTTCTCTGCCCCTGGATTTATGGTTCCTCTGTCATCTTTTAGTGAAACAGATGGGTGGAGAAGAAGATTGATGGGTGAATTGTTCACCAGAGAGGGCTCTGCAAGAGCTGGAGCAGTCCCAGCAAGGGGGACGGAAAAGGAACCGTTGATAGGTTCAGAGAACGTTACCGTTAGAGAGAGAGGAGAGAGACATTGTCTTCCCAGCCATCAAAAACGAGGAAAGTTACATCACTTGGCTTCGAAGTTCCCACTTGCAATTCAATTCAAAGGTGAATCGCTAAAGACGCTGTTTGTTTGCTTTCAGTGTTTCTCCTTCATTTAAAAGAGTAAGTAACCACGTCCTATTTAACTACTTGTTACTTGTTACCTACCACCAGTAGTTTCTAGGGATGGCAATGGGTCGGGTCGGGGACGGATAGTGCATATCCGTTACCCTACTCAGAGTAGTTCGGGTTTTATCCATACCCATACCCACATGTGAAACGGGTAGAAAATTAAAACCATGCCCATACCCGTTCGGGTTTCGGGTATCCGCGGTTATCCATGGGTAATGATTTTTCTTCATAACTATAACCAATATGTTAACATTCACACGTATTCTCACATTACGTATGAAGAAAAGTACGACAATAATTCACTAGAATGAAGAAAATTAATTAAAACAACACAATTTCATGAAAAAATTATATTTATAAGCTAATATAAAATATGTTAGAGAAAAAAATGATTATTTCTAGATAGAATACATATGCATGTGTATAATCGGGCGGGTTCGGGTCGGATAGTGAGAAACCCATGCCCACCCATTACCCGTAATATTCGGGTTCGGATTTTACCCATACCACTAAATGTCCTTCGAGTTCGGGTTCTACCCTACCCGATTAGGCCGGATTCGGGCGGATATCCACGGTTACGGATATTTTTGCCATCCCTAGTAGTTTCGATTTCTTCAAATATTGACGAGCTTGAGTTTGTATTATAAGATTTATTCGTCGCCATTATTTAACTCGGGTGATTGCGAATTTTTGTTAGATTTGACCTATGATTTAGAAGAAACAATAAAATTCTACATTGTAATTATTTTCTACCTTTCATATTAGAAGAATACATCAGTGATTTGTAATTCTTGAGATTTTGTTCATTGGGTATTCGAATCTCAATAACCTACAAGTTCGATTATCATTTTAGGCTATCGTTTTATAATCTTGTATCTCAATGTTTGTCAATTGTAAAAAAAAATTACACTAGAAAAAAGGTGTTTGGTAAGCAAGTAAGCAACAAACAACTTACGATATAAACTTCCACTTCGCCAGCCGATAGCTTTGAATGTTTGCAACATTGCCGGTCAAGCAAAACTCAACTTACAAATAGAATAATTTATAGAGTAAGTTTTTGTAATAGCATGTAATTGAATTCAATGAACGTATTATTTGTTATTAGTGTTTTCAATGTACTTGAGTGTACTTAAAAGTTTACATATATATGATCTCGAGTGCATTAATAATATTATACAATCTAAAATATTTATTAGTATGAAATATTCGGAGAAAAAAAACACTTAATATCAATTCGCTTTCATAACAAGCAGGGCTCAATGAATTTAAATTTTAAACCCAAATGATCCAGCCAGGAGGATAAATTCACAATAAATTACAACATTTCTCGTTCTGGATACACAATCTCATTGTATTTTTAATTATAATTAGGAAGTTTAGGCCGGTACGATCCTTTAACTTATTTAGAGATGGTGAAAAAGACCCACAATTCGAGTATTACTGAAACTCAATTCGTTATGAGTTAAATGAAGTTTGGATGATATCATTTTTGGCTCATATCCATACTCAATCATTTAATTCGAGTTTAATTTAGATATATTATATTATATTAATTTTTCATATTTATAATTATATTGAACCAAATAAACCCATTTAAGTTCAACCCAAATTGAACCAAATCAAAATCCATATTTCTTAAGCGTATTTATTATTTAAGAGTCCATTTGGACACAACCCAATACTGACAATTGAATCCAATTACCCAATGGATCGACCCATTCATCCCTACCTCTGCTTTTGATACCCAACCGAACAACATAATTTCAGTTTACCAAAGAAAACGACATATTTCAAATACATTAGCCGCAACGTATAAGTTGATATAAATAACCAACCAACGTATAAATATGGCAAACTAAATCCACCGATAAATCGTTGCCAAATAGAGACCGTCCAGAGAGACGAGGCAACTCCTCGACAAAGAAGCCTCCCATAAAGAAAACAATAGCCAACCCGTAATACAACGAACACATACACAATGGAATCAGAAAAGAGCCTGTAAAATACCAAGAGCAAAAGAAAAAGCCACGACAGGTCACGCACGCACCCTATGGAGCCAACCAATTACCCAACCCAACAAGGCAGTTCAAGCTCAATAGTCAAAAACTTCCCACAAACAAAAGAAGAAAGGAAAAAAAGCAACCGAATTGTATTTCGCCTGCACTCATGAAGTATATATAAACCCCTCCTTTCCTGTCTCTCAATACGCGTTTCTTTCTTTCATCCCTCGCCTTCCATTTCCTCCTTCTCAGTAGTTTTCTCTTCTGCGCAATCTCAGGCGGGGAAATGGGTCTCAAGAAGGTGGTGCCGCCGCCGCCGCCGTCCACATTGCTGGAAGATCTGCTGGAAAATGCCGGTGGCTGCGCGGTGATAGACGGTGGGTTCGCAACCCAGCTCGAGACACACGGCGCTGCCATCAACGACCCTCTCTGGAGTGCACTCTGCTTGATCAAAAACCCCGCTCTCATAAAAAAGGTCGGCTCATTTCCTGGGTTTCTCTTCTGGGATTCTCTCAAATTCCTCACCTTCTTGCTTGAAACTCTGTTTTTTTCTCTCTCCTGCAGGTGCATTTGGAGTATTTGGAGGCCGGCGCAGACATTATAGTCACTTCTTCTTACCAGGTATCTAATCCTCCCCACTGCTTGATCATTTCGCAGTAAAGTTCAATACAATGTAGATGTTTTTTCAGAATCTTAAAACTGGGTTGGTTCTCTTGTTCTTTGATAGGCGACCCTTCCTGGGTTTCTGTCGAGGGGGGTTTCCATCGAGGAAGCAGAGTCGTTGCTGCAGAGGAGTGTCAGATTGGCTGTGGAAGCTCGTGACGAGTTCTGGGACACTGTGAAGGGCCGTCCTGGTAATGAATATAACAGGGCTCTGGTTGCAGCCTCCATTGGGAGCTATGGAGCTTATCTCGCTGATGGCTCAGAATACAGGTGGGGTTTTGTCACGTTTAGACACTCAATAGGAAATTTCAGTTGGTTTAGACTGAATTTTACATCTCATATTGTTCTTATTCCGGAGTTTGCAGTGGTTGGTATGGAGAGGATGTTACCCTGGAAAAGCTCAAAGACTTTCATAGGCGCAGGCTGCAAGTTCTCGCGGAGGCAGGGCCCGATTTGTTGGCTTTTGAGACCATCCCCAATAAGCTTGAAGCTCAGGTTAGTTCATCTACCAATTTGACCTGATAAGCATCAAGAAACTGGCCCTGGATTGAAGCTTGCTTCTTGAAGACAGAGAAGGATAAATAATTTCGCAGGGCAGGAACTTAGGACTGAACTTAATATAAGCAGATAACTCCTGGAATTTTTGCAGGCTTGTGTGGAGTTGCTTGAAGAGGAAGAAATCAGCATTCCATCCTGGATTTGCTTCAGCTCGGTGGACGGCCAGAATGCCCCTTCAGGAGAGAGTTTCAAGGATTGCCTTGATGTGATCAACAAGAGTAGCAGAGTGCCTGCAGTTGGCATCAATTGCGCACCCCCACAGTTCGTCGAAAACCTCATCTCGAAATTTCAGGAGGTAAAAAGACGATACGAACTCAATCTGCTCGTGCCTGTTTCTTCGGTATAAATTACTTATGATATTTTTTGGTTTTGATCTGCAGTGGACACACAAGTTGATAGTGGTTTACCCGAACAGTGGTGAAGTATGGGATGGCAAAGCTAAAAGATGGATGGTATGCATTTGATTACGTTTTATAGCTTCCAGTTCCATTGTTTACGTGAAACAGTGATAACCTCGAGCTTTTGCATTAACACACAGCCATCAGAATGCTTTGGAGACGACAAATTCGAACTGTGTGCTAGAAGATGGCACAAGTTAGGAGCCAGCCTTATCGGCGGCTGTTGCCGAACTACGCCTGCAACTGTTACGGCCATTTCAAATGCCCTGAAAGGAAGATCCTCCTGACCACCAGCAACAACATCACAGCTCTTGCCATATATGATATAACCGTTATTTCAGACAGCATAATATTCCATTCAAATAGTTAAGCCATGTACCTCACAATGTAAGCTTTTACTAATGAGCATTTACCGGCTGTAACCTTGATTTATAACCACAGATTTTGGCTCTGAAATCTGATCTCAGTAGCAAGAATATGCAATGCGGTTCTCAATATTTTCTTGACTCTTATAAGATGCTCAAACTTAACCCTCTTTTACCACTATCACAAAAGGCTTTTTTCCACCTTAATAGCAGGAATCTGGCACTAGCGGCTAGCGCATACATCCGAGGCCAACCACAAAATGGCTTTCGCCATGTGAATTTGTGTACTAGCTTTGCAGCAACGATTGTATGTAGTGAACTGGTGCAATTTAGCGATTCTTCTAGGCCAAACTAACTACAACATTGCTTTTGAGCCTTGGAGTGTTAAGAAATCAGAATAGTGGCAAGTCAACGAACCATTAGCCTATAAGGGGGTCAACGCTGGGGATGGCCATGGTTGTGAAATTCCCAAGGATCATCTTCATAGCTATCACTATATCTGCCATCGCGTCTTGTTTCAGAGCTTCGATCCATACTTTGATAGCCTCCACCATCTATCACACAAATGGGAAAGATCGGTTAGAGAAATCAAAATGCACAGGATTAATAATAAGTAGATCCTAAAGCAGGTAATCGAGAGACAAAACAGTTTGGTACACTACCATATCTAGGTTCCTCTATTCCTGCATACTGCTGCTGCTCAAGCCTTAGCTTCTCGATTTCATGATGCATGCATGTGAGATTATTCTCGATTAGCTGCATTTCTTGAACTTGATCATGCTTCGCTCTCTTCTCGTACTCAAGTGTATTCCTAAAAAACAGTGTACGGAAATCAAAATACTGGATATATAGCAGAATTACATCTCTGACTACACGAATTGCTGAACAAATTGCAATGCAAAACTCCAAACCTGGCATCAAGAAGCTGTTTGTGCATCATATCTACAGCAGCTTTCAGTGAATGCAGTTCCTCGTTCTCCAACTTTACTTCTGTAACCTCTTCTTGTAAACTGTCCACAATAGCAGTATAGTCCTCTACTGAATCCCTCAAGTTTTCAACTTCTACTCTTAACTTCCTAACCTCTGACTTTAAGGGCTCCCTTGACCGCACCTCTGCTTCTAGCTTCAATCCTGTCTGAATTAACTCCCTGATATCGGTCTCCTTTTCAGCCTGGAGTTGAGGTATCCTTTCCTCCAATCTGCGAATCTTATCGCTTGTTCGCGTCACTTCACTCTGAAGAGCAATATTATCATCGATAATGGCCTGATTCTCAGAGATTATCCTCCTCGTCTCTCTACCTAGAATATCGAGCTCTTCTTCCAAAGCAGCAGGATCAAGCTGCTGCACGGGCCTCAATCTGTTGTTCCGTTCATGCTGACGGCCATCTTGATAGCCCACCAAATCATCAGGATGCCGAGGCCTATGCTTTCTCTTTGACATGGGACCAGTAATCCTCCCTTCACTGCTTGTTTACAACTGACTGCAACAGAGAAAAGTTAAAATAAAAAAGTAATTGATATGCGATCTTCCAAATTCCAATGATGAAACAGAAAGAGCAGTACTCAGTCTCATCATTAAAATAAAAAAGCACTAGGTTCTGATTTAAGGGTCCTGAAAGAGCTTTAGCTAAACAGGAATTGCAGGCCAAATGCACGACATGACACTTTGGCCTACTAAAACTGCTGAAGTTTTTAGTTTACAGCAAACCACACATTCTAATAGCTTATCTGATCAAGCCAATATACCTGTATTATGAGCCACTTCGGTTCCATCCGATGCAGTTTGCCACAAAATAACAACAAAAAGCAGTAATTCTTACGGCGACCGTTCCTCTCACTACGTAATTGCAGCTATGATCGTCTCTTTCCAATGCAAACAAGTGCAGCTGACATTTGGATGCTATCTAACAGGCATTCATAAAACAGGATAATGCAGCTATTCTACGTCTTGATGCCTAGGTGAACCAGTGATGCAGGATAATGAGCATAAGAGAAAACAATCTGATCCAATAACGCATTGCCAGACACCACCATGTGTGAACTGCAATCAAATGCAAGTTTCCACAAACTACAATGCCCTCGCCTTACTCATGCAAGGATCAACCCCAAGGCAATCACGACTCCAAAAAGAGGAAATTTGAAGCAGCGCATTTTTCCTTCACTTCCCCTTTTTTCCCTAAATTCTGCGCATCATTCACTCTCCTTTCCTCGTTTCAAGGCCATTCCGCCGTGCAAGTAAAATGCAAAAGCAGCAGAATTTTCTCAGGCAAGAGGGTGGGAATAAGCACCCAGCAAAGACATTGTCGACCATAATTCGTCGGAAACGGAATCGGAGAACGATTATGGAAAACAACAACGGGACGAGCTTCAGCAAGCTACCGGGGGCTACCATTAGAGTTAAGCAAGCAACGCCCTAGACGAGGAGAAAGAGGAAGACGAAGTTGGCGGGAATGTAGATTTTCTTTGTTAGGGTTAACGAGAAAAGGAGAGAAATGAAGGCGATCCACTTACAGTGATGGGTAGAAGGAACAATTGAAAGGCAGGGAAATCAGGACCGAGGAAGTCTCCGGAACTTCTTCACCGACGATCCTCGTTTTTCCCCACAACGCCCGCCGGAAGGAATCTCCCGCTGTCTCTTACTCGTTGCGTTTGGTTTCTGGTTGTTCCCCGCCTTCCCGGCCAGCTGGTTTGGCGGTTCAGGTGGAGAAGAAAAATAATAGTAATCTCGTTCGTTCCCGGTATTTGGTATCCTGGGCCGAATCAAATGGGCTTTCAGTCCAATTTCGTGAAAGATTTTGCCCACTAAAAGTTGTCAGCCCAATCCCATACCCCAAAACAAAGCTAGCGGTGACATATGAGGTCAAGAATTTGGATCCATCTCTTGTGAAGACGGTTATAGACCTGAGTTTTAACGACCCAAACTGCTTGCACATAAAAACATCGAAGTAACTTGAAGTTGTGATTATTAAATAGAGGTATGTTATTTTCTTTTTGCAAATCTCGTTGATCGGAACCATTTGCTCTATCACCATCACTACCTTCGATACTCAAATGCGAAGATGAGCTCGATTTTGGCTCTACATCCCAACTTTTTCTGAGATGGACATCAAATTTGTCTCAATTTATGGCTCTATCTCAAATTAATGGAGGGCAACGAAAACGAGATCAAATCACAAACTCAAGGAGTTGTTGGTGTACACTAAGGAGAAGAAAAAGTGGTGACAAAGCATGTAATAGATCCGCACTTAGCCAGATGGTTGGTGGAGGAGGAACCTTCTTGGGTGCTAAGAGTCGGGGAGCTGTTATGGTGATTACTCTATATTAGTAATCACCATGGCTATTAAGGACAAATTGGGTATGAAAAAATATATATAAATTATCTTTTTTAATAAATTATATTTTAGTTAGTTACAAAAATATATTAATTATGATTTTCTTTCACTCTTTCTTTCACTTCCGCAATCTTTAGCCATATTTTGTTTTCTTCTTTTTCTCATTCCTTTTTGTTCTTTGTTCAGCCGAATAAATACTACTGCAAAAATAAAACAAGAAATCAATACCAATTCATTAGACAACCACTACCATTTCGAAAAATATCAATACCATTATAGAAATAAATGAATACTATTACACTAAAACTATCCATATAAACAACCTATACCATTACACGAGTCAGACCAATACCAAAATTAACCAAAACCACTACCACTGTGAAAGCAAAACAATACCATTTCAAAAAGAAATCAATACTATTACATAAATTAACCAATATCATCAAAAATAAACTAATACCTTTCACTGACCACTACGCAGAACACACGCAAACCATGGGTAAATCGGAAGAAACATCGTCTCTCAACATCACTGACACAGCCGACAGGGCAAGTTCCCGTACCATCCCCACCAACGACGACGACTTGATTCTATGACGTCCTCAAATGCATGGTGTCGTCGATATTCACTCTGGCTAGCGATCGCGACCCCGCACCGATGCTGCAATTGATCAAGGTGCCGCCACCATCTCAGAACGGACTGCTGGTGAAGGACGTGACTACTAAACCAGACGAAAGATTCTGGTCTGGAGAAGAAGGGTTGCCGACAGGCAAGAGGAGAAAAGAGGAAGGAGGCGGTTGCAATTTCTGGTTTGGAGAAGAAGGGTTGCTGGCATGCGGGAGGGCAGGAGAGGGAGGAGGCGGTCGCATTAGGGTTTGGGGTTTAATATATAGAAATATTTTTTAGAAAATAATAATCAGGTGTGGTATTTTTTTTTTTTGTTTCTAAAATTATCCTTCATCTAATTTTGTCTATTTAAAAATAGGATGAAATAGAGATTATTAAGAGTGTAGATTTTGGTAGCCACTGTGGTTACTCAAATTTTAGTAACCATGCTAATGCATTCCTAAGAGTCGAGCTAGGGGGATTTGGGTAGCGAGGAAGATGACGAAGTATCTAGTGGCCGCAGGGGTTCCAATGTAGAGGTGGGTTCGGATTTGGTTGGTGGTGCGATCTTTGAAAAGTTGTAGGATTAGTGATTGGGGCTTGGCTGTTACGAGATCGGGCCATCGTAGCATTTCGTAGGAGACTGGGCTTGCGTATTTTTAGTATTAGTACATTATTGGGCTTTTATTATTAATATCTTTATTATTGTTTTCCTTTTTCGTATAGGATTTGGTTATTTGTTGGTAATATCCTTAGAGGTTTAGGAGTCATAATCTAGATAGGTAAAGGTAGAGGCTTTGTACCTATACATATGTACTTGTTTCGTTCGGTTAATGATGAGAAGATTGGAACCCAATTTATGTTTTGTTTGCTTTGATTATTTCTTTCGTTCAGTTTAGTCGTTTCATAGCTATTTTGGGGTTGTTCTCGCCATTAAGGAGATCCTCTGCTCGAGAGAGTCGAGTAACGTATCCAAAAGTCCGGAGAAGTAAAGATCCAGTACGTAGAATTCCGCCCCTAAGACGCATCTACGTAACATTGGCTTCTTGTTCCTCTTGGGACGAGAGAATAAAGTGAAGAGAGGAAGTAGAAGAGTGATAAGTGCAAACTCGGTAACAGAAATTATTGATGGAAGAAATTGGGATGCAATCTTTGGAATATTTTCTTCAACAGAAGCCTTCTAATCTTCCCAATTCAACATTGATCCTACATTTTAATTGCAGAGTTGACACTACTCTATGTCTCTTTCAATTTTATGGTTCAAAGTGTGAGGAAATGAGGGAGAGACAAAGAGGATCGGGGCAAGAAGAGATTGCTTGTCCGAACTTCGAGAGTTTGTTTGAGAGGGATGATGTCGTTTTGGGAGAGAAACATAGATAATGACAACATTAATTAACTTATAATCGATTATTGACATACTCGTTGACCATCAATTACCTGTTAGTTTAACAATTTAACCGCTAACCGAATATCACCCGGACCGAAACACAATCCTGATGTCAACAACTTGTGCATGGAAGTTAGTAACAACAACCATTAAAGCCGGCAGGCGGCAAGTAGGAAGGATTTTCGGAATGATCCGTTGCAGTAGTTGATGTTCAGCGGAATATCACCGGGCAGTGACACAGATGGTTAGGCAATTGGCAGATAGGCCCAAAGAGCAGCAGCGAAGGTGCTGGGCTGGAAAAGGGTGCTGCCAGTCGCAGCAGAGAAGTCTCTGTCAAAGCAAAGGAAAATGTCAAGAATTACCCATGAAAGTTGCCTCTGCCCAAAATTAAGTAATTTGGGTATTTTGTGGGGTATTTTGTGGGTTTTGTTTGCTGTGTCAGATTTGATTGGAAATTGAGAGTGGGTTTCCCATTCCCATTCCACGCACATCGATCTTATCCGTAAACATATCCTAAACCGCACCCAAAAAATTTGACAGTGAAAATTGTATTCTGAAACGTAATGGAATTTGACATATACTTTTCAACTGTCATTTCACTTCCCCGCTGCACTGTCAAAGCTCCTTAGCCTGTTCTTGTGTAATAAATTATCTCCTATATTTCGTTGAGACAAATTTGTCAAAATGATGATTAGATATTTCTTGGCCAAGAAAATGTGATAGCTCATTGTTCTCCCAATTCTTTGAATATGGATTAGGGCAAGGTAATGACTCTTTGAACTCTTGATTAGCCAGCGTGACATTATCCCGATAAGTTTTCTGAAAACCACACAAAAGAAGTCAACATAAAAAACACACCAGCTCCAAACTTGGACATTCTTTGAAGTAGTTTGGGGGCACTTTCATATATGGTTTCCTTCAAGTCTTCAAATAGGAATGACTTTCATATATATGGTTTTAACCAGTGGTTAATTAACCGGTAACCGAATTACCAACCCTAGCTCGACATTGGCTAAGAAGTACAACAAAGAAGATAAATCATTAAAAAGTGAACCACCGATCACATATGAACATGTCGATTGATAAACTTACTTGATGATCAAGCCATCTATCACTCACGTCTAACTAACACCTCAAAAAGAATTGAACAGGATGATGCAAATGTAACAATTACAACATCATCGTAAATTCGTAATCCATACATTACAAATCAACCGAGCGTCTGCAAAAATGAGTACAAATCTATCTCTGCCTTAATTAAAAAAAAAAAATCCGCTGACAAAATAAACCCACAAAAAATAAAAATAAATAAATAAAAAAGAGAAAAGTGATAGAGAGAGGTTGTAGGGGAGGCCTCAATTCCATTGCATGGGCCCATTCTACATACCCAGAAATCCATTTGACAGAGCCACCCTCCAATCACAGCACAGAGCCGAGGATCACCTTCGTTTCCTCGCCCAATTGCAATCCAGATAAGCCCCCTCTCCCTTCTTCCCACCCTCTCTCTGCGGTCCCTGCTAAAGATCCCTCTTCTCCTGACTTCTTCCTCTGCTTAACCCACAAAACAAAAGAAATTTATAACACAATCTGCCCCCGCCTATTCCCTGCTCTCAAAAGTGCGCTTCTGGTGGGTCACCATCCTCTATAATACTATACTGTACCCACTTTCTTCAAATTATTGCTCCCAACTCCAACTACTGCATTTGCCTCCCCTTTGGAGCTAAGCTGAAACTCCCATTACTACCAGAAAGGAAAGGCCTTTTTCTTTCTTTCTTTCGGCCCACTTTTCCATGAACAAGTCCCACACCCAGCAGCAAGTGGCCGCCGCCGCCAGCGCGTACGGCGGGAAAACGGCCAGGGCATGCGACAGCTGCATCAGGAGACGCGCCAGGTGGTACTGCGCCGCAGACGACGCCTTCCTCTGCCAGTCATGCGACGCCTCCGTCCACTCCGCCAACCCGCTCGCCCGCCGACACGAGCGCCTCCGCCTCAAGACCGCCTCCCTCAAGTCCCTCTCTCTCCCCTCCTCTGACGATGGAAGTAACTCGCTTCTTCTCCAGCAGCCGGCCTGGCACCGTGGCTTCACCCGCAAGCCACGCACCCCACGCGCCAACGGCACTGCTAAAACGACGTCGTCCCCCTCCGTTTCCAAGTCAAACCATTTTGAAGAGACGCTGACGATGATGCGGGTCCCAGAAGTTGGCTGCGACGAACACGACGAGGAGGCGGCGGCGGCGGCGGAAGAGGAAGAAGAGCACCAGCTTCTTTATCGGGTCCCGATTCTCGACCCGCTCGAACTATGCAACGCCGACGAATCCTTCCTCCACCACCACCAGCATACAGCCGTTTCCGCTTCATCAAGCGGCGGAGGCGGCGGCGGCGGTGATAGCAGCAACCAAGAGGAGAGCCTGTTGCAGATGCAGGGCTTGGTTCTTCCGTCGGACATGGAGCTGGCGGAGTTCGCCGCCGACGTGGAGAGCCTGCTCGGGCGGGGGCTGGAGGCCGAGTCCTTCGGCATGGAGGAGCTCGGGATTCTCGACTGTAGCAATCATCATAATGATAATAACAAAGACGACGACGACGGTGACGTCAGCAAGCTGGTGAAGATGGAAACCGGCGAGTTCCTCGGCGGCGGAGGAGGAGGAGGAGTGGATGAGTACTCCGATGAGCAGCCCCTGTTCCAGCTCAGCTTCGACTACGGCGGGGACGAGGAGGCCGCCACGTGTCAGGAGGAGGAGGATGAGAAGATGGTGATGAGGCTTGCTGCTGGAGCCGATGAAGTTGGGGATAACATGGAGATTGGCAAGAAGAGGAAGAGGAACATACTGTTGAGGTTGAATTACGAAGCTGTGATGGCCGCTTGGGACACGTCGACTCAGGGCTCCACCTCCCCTTGGACGAACGGCCGGCGGCCCGAGTTCGACGTCAACGAATGCTGGCCCGACTGTATGGTAAGTGTCTCTCTCGTCTGTCTGTCTGTATGTCGGTCCGCGTCACAGATGGGCTATATGTTTATCAATGTTTTTAGATCGGTGTCTAACTGATTGATTAATATTGGTGGGGGTTATCTCAGGGAGGTTGCGGGAGGGAGTATCTGCATCATCGTAATCAGCACCACCACTTACTGGGATACCAATTGGGAGAAGAGAGGAGTTTGGGTGCGGCGGCGGCGACAGCAGGGGACGGAGGGAGGGAGGCGAGGGTGTCGAGGTACAGGGAGAAGAGGAGGACGAGATTGTTCTCGAAGAAAATAAGGTACGAGGTGCGGAAGCTGAACGCGGAGAAGAGGCCGAGGATGAAGGGGAGGTTTGTGAAGAGGGCCAGTTTTGCGGCGGCGGGGAGTAGTACTACTGCGGTGCCTAATTACACTTCTTTGGTACTCAACAACAAGAAGTGACCATCATCAATTTGACGACCTTACTTATTTGTGAACTTTGTTTTTTTCGTATTTTTATTGTTGATGTTTGTGGCTAGCTAACTAGTTGGCTGCTGTTCTAATTTGGCGTTTGAGCCGATTGTTGCTGCTATAGATGCAACGCAATGTGTGCATGCTTGCTTTGTACAGTGGTAGTGATACGATGTGAAGTTGAAACTCGTGCTGGTTTTTGGCCTGGGATTTGGTATGCCCGAATCCACGGTTTCCCCTCCAGTTAATAAAATGTACTTTTGAGCTTCTTGTATGAATGAAGCAATTAATGTATCATAATTGGCATCGATCTACTCGCTGGATTAGCAAGAAAAATTATTTCCGTGTACCCAAATTCAGCCGGGGAGACTTGCGCAGGTTTGTTCATCTTGGCTCTTGTTTTGGTGCTTCTCTTGGATGATGCATGCAACTAACTTGTTGAGAAAGAAAGCAGTTATCATGGATACAGCACTTTGACAGGCTTGGCGTGTGGAAAATGAGACATTACAAGCTCAGTTACTCAATACTTGACAGGCTCCTAATGTCATAGACTATTGAAAATTCGAGTCGGAATAATTATAAAGACTAGTACCAACGTCACATAATGATTTTTATTAGCCAAATGATAACGACCTTAGCTTGTAGCACCTTTCCGAGAGAACGAGAAGTGTTAACCTTCTAATTAATTTGGTTGAATGATTTTCCTGAACTACTAGGCCACGTAGTAGTAATTACCTGTAATTATTTGGTTGGTACAATCGTTAATATTTTTTGGAGACATCCGTAAATTCATGTTTAGTATTACTTTTTCTATGATTATGAATGATCACCTGCCAAATCAATCCAATAAACTAAAACTCGATCCACCGATGATTCTTGCTAGAGATTCATCAATCCTTGAATGTGCCTTTTCATCTCCGCCCCTATAATAAGTATTGCATTTCCTTGAATTTGTTTCGAGTTGGCTTCTCGGATTCTTAGCTCCCACCTATAATTCAAGAAGGAGAATATCAATATTATTGATAAAGAAACTACGGGAACAAGAATAAGAATATAATCTGGTGATACTATCGCTAATCTTTAATCTAGAAGTTTCGGGTTTGAATTATTTAACTACTACATAACTTAACAAACAAACCTATATAAAAATCTGTGTTGCTCGACCAATAAGAAATCAACAAGCATATAACCTTTTGTTGATTTCATTTGCATACACAGCAAAAGGAAATTAACCAGACATATATCACCACAGAAGTATCTTTTGTCTTTTTGCTTTGCTCTGCTCCCCCCCACAGGCCACAACCACCGACGACGTTCACAAATGTGACAAGAGGACCAAATAAAAGGGACATCGCAACTAATGTCATTTCCAAATATATCTATACACGACATTTAACTTTCAGGCTACACCATGCAAGTTTTTCTCCACCATCATCCATTGTAGATGTGTGTTGATGTCACATTAATAGGGATAAACTTAATTAGAAGTCTTAATTACTTATATATACCTATTGGGTGTATGTCGTTTTCGTTCATTAGTCTGTAGTAACTTCTCCTGATTTATATAAAACTAAGATGATAAGAGAATTCGCTATCCATTGTCACTCTTGATACTTTGATGATCATGTTATAGTAATTCAGACATGGAGATAAAAGTAACTAGAGTTTTTTTTATTAGGATATCGAAATAATTTTTTTGATAGATTTAAGGAGTTCTAACCACTCAATCTATCTAAAACATCTAACTCGATATTCAGACTCACGTTTAAAGATTGTCAATACAAATTTTTCTGCTGTAATTGAAAACCAAACTACTCCAATCTAATTTGGTCGTGGTTTACCTTTTCCCACCCCTACTTCCATCAGCCTTTTATTGTTAAACTTAACCATCCATGATTGAAGCATATTTGATATCTACCCCTTTTATATTGCCGAGAATCCAATATCTAACTGCTGTGTAAATTGAGTTATTATATAGTTACTCTAGCGCCAATATTCTTTTCCCAATGGAAAGCTCAATCAATTACCTAAATGAGCCTCAAAAAGTGACGTTGAAAAGGACCAGATAAGAAAGTGGCACAGGATTAAATTTCAAATTTGGTGTTTTCTTCGCAAATTGGTCTTGGATTATATGGGAACCCTTTTGGTCCACACTCCACAGCCACATGACACACAAAAAAATCCTAATAATGAATTGCCTAAAACCAAAATGCATGTTGGTATCGGAGGTTGTACCGGAAAAATAGTAATGGGATATTTTTTACTGAAATTGTGGTGTAATTATGGTTCAACTGTTTCATATCACTAAAGATTACATACTGATTTTACTTCCATTAAAATATTTTAATGGTTGAATCATCGCTACGATACGATTTTTTAATCCTTGATTGAACCCAATGCCTTGACGTGCCTTTCGCTTATCTTCTAGGGGGAACACTATCATTTGTACTTCATTAGTGGCATTCGATAGGATTCCCGAAAAAAGTTTAATTCGTTTCAAATGCATATTGTGGATGTGATATGACAAACACCATATGGTATTTAGCATTTGATATTAAATCAAATATGATATTTAGATAAATTAGAAAGTACGGTATTGTTATTGTAAAATTTTCATTTCAAATTGATTAAATACTCATTTACTCTTCTCTTATTACATAAATAAGAATGAACCTCCTTCTCTTATCCCTATGAAAACATAGATTGTGGGTTGGCATTTCTTCCATAGACTTCTTAAGCGATGTAGACGATAAATGAGATCTTGAGAATATTGACGATGACCACAATTATTAACGTGCACGGATCTTCGATTAATAATTTTAAAATGAATAAAAAGAGCACGTTAGAGTGATTGGAAATCATGGAAGAGCCAACAACGAAAAATATGAATACAAATACGAATACCAATTAAATGCTAGTTATTCATGATTTTTTTTAACAATATAAAGAGTATGTGTATAAAGTATACATTATTTTGATAATCGGTGGTAATCATGCTAATCTTCTCTTTTATCGTTCCAATGTTACCAAATATTCATGAAGGGACCCAATAATAGCGATTGGAGTTCGGTTGAATGATGAAAGCAACAGAAAATGTAGCCGTAAGGCCATTGAACAGCTACATCAAGGTGAAACCAAACATCATCATGTAAATAAAAGTTACAAGCTGCTACTGTACTAACATGTATCTGAGTTAGTGTACAAGCAAATTTTTTTTTTTTTAAAAAGCTCTTTATATCAAGATATCAGGAATGGAAAACTCTATATTCTATCATCTTCAATTCAAAGGCGTGTCAAGTATACAAAACGCAACCTGGGCTGAATGAATGCAGGAGGTTATTGGAATAGATGGTTCAAGAGTAAAACTCCCAAGCAAACTTGCCAGATTGGAGGAGAAGGATGATTGATGACTTCATACCAAAATTGATGAGTTACCACACCGGTATCTTAATTATCTATTCAAAGGTTCTAGCTGGACTTCCATTCTTCCAGACTGTTGCGAACCCGTTTCGGCAGAAGCCCTAGTTGGGTTCAGGAGATCAACAGAATCATCTTCTTCCACATTACCCAGCACCCAGTTACTTCTTCCTGCATATACTCTGCCTCTCATTCTCTGCCTAGCTCTATGTTCAAGATAAAATAACATCAACCCTCCAATCAAGAACCAAGCTATCATTGCCCAAATATAACCATGAACGTTTTCCCCTCCATATCTATCCCCCAAATGTGTCGTCCCGGTGAACAACGCAACGATCCCGAAGATGATGGCAGACCTTCCAACGATGACATGTAAGTACTCCCACATAAGCCTTTTCCTGGTGACTTCTTCTCCATTACCAGGTCTTTTGGGCCTCATGAAAGCATTCACCGGTTGGACGCATGCCAAACATACAGCAGCAAGCCCAAACTTAACATGCAATGAACTCACATACAGACCACGAAGTTCAGCTACTGCAAAAAGAAAGCCGAGCAAGACGATAGCCAAACCTGAGTACTGCAAGTAGACATGAATCTGATACCAACTATCGCCCTTAACATGCTTCAAGTATCTAGCTGCAAGAATACCACCAGGGAGTAAAATACCCCAAGCAAGGAACATCATGAATCCATGCACAGCCAACACCGGTCGAATATCTTGCTCCGCTTCTGTAGATCCACCCAGGAGTAAAATACGTACGGGCCTTTGACTTGTTGCTGAATGCATGTTTTTCTCACTCAGCTGTTCATCTGACCAACTAGCACCCATTGCCCACACAACCTTAAGAGGACTTGTGCGATCAATAATGTTTTTGCACTCTATCCGGCGTCTGTGAACACATGTGGGTTTCAAGGGCCTTGTAAACTCTAAGGTAATGATCCCGTTCTCAGATTTGCACCTTACATAAGTCAGATTCTCATTCGTAGCATGCACTCTCAACGCATCCTTTCCATCAATCCAATATGTTCTCACATGCCCTTTGCCTTCATCATCAACCCAACCAACATAAACAAAGCTGTCCACCATTCCCGTACCAAACCCTATTGCAACATAACCACTTTTTCTCTCTCCTCGAGCTGCAATCGATATGCTTTCATCAGACAATGTCCAAAAGAAGGTTACTTGCTGATCATCAAGGAAAACACTGTTATTGTACATATCGGATAGACCCCCATCAACAACCTGAACCCTCCATCCCATTTTCTGCTGATACAACGATTGATAGTATACTTGATTGGGTGTATTTCTATCTGGCGCCCAAACTAATTCCATTGGACTAGCTGGAACACCCTCGGCTTCAGGCCCTCCTGCATAGATGGTTTCTGTGTTGTTTCTCAATGTGGCATTCCCGCCAAGCATGTCCGAAGTTATATACAACGCAACATCATGTCCCGCTTCTACAGAAAAAGTTACTGGTACACCTCTTTCAACTCTTAAAACTGGAGCTTCCTTCTTATTTATGTAAAGTACCTTCGCTGGGTTGGGAGCATTAGGATAGTGTAGTGCAGGTCCAGAAGTAACAACAAGAGGCACATTTCCATCTGCAATTATCAAATCCTGATCCTCCTTCTCTGCAGCATCCAGTGGCCCAAAACAATCATTCACTTGCTCAGACACATTAAGCCGGCGATGTCCATAAGTTACAGCCTCTGGACCTCCATGATTTTGAGGCAGGTAGTAAGGCCTAAATGAATCTGGCGGCCTCATCAAACCTATTGCCCATATCACGTTCATCTTTTGTGTATAATTCACGGGCAAGTCATATTTCTTGTCTACCGGAATCAACAGCCTCCTGTACCTGACAAAGGATACACCATCCTTCCTGTGGCCATAGATGGTCTGAGTGTTGTTCACCAAACCCACTGGGCCTGATCCTTCAAATATGGTATCAGGGCAAACACCATCTGCTGAACCATCCTTGTTTACAGTACATTCACCATACTTTGTAATGAAAAAATCATCAGCAAATGGCCATCCTTCTTCGGTGAACCCAGCCACAGCTACATCGGCACCAATCATTAAATCTGAATTGGATTTCGGATTGGCCCATCCAAATGCCATATAATTCTGGATGCCTATAGCTGCTTCCAATCCTATATCGATGAAAGTCTTATTGGCACTCAGACTCCATCTTACTCGATAGTCTTTAGACAGTACCTTGCAGTTATCAAACATTGTTGGTACAGTAAAGATCCGACCTTTCTCTTTACCTTGACTAGCATTGTTATCGGATGGCATTGGAGGCAAAGCAGGGCTTAATCTGGAGGCTAGCGCAGACTCATTCTTCAGAATAATGTGACCGAAATCAGAGGCTGTGGGAATGTCCCAAACCGAAAGGACTTGGAACTTCTCCCAAGTGACATTTTTACTCAATTTAACAACAAAAGATGCATTTTTAAATGTCTCGTTAAGATTTTGATCAGAGACCACAAAGCCCTTGGTGATGTTGACAAAATCAGTAGCACTTGCTCCCCACCAGTGAACATCCAAGCCAGGTAACATGTCAAATTCAGAAACCCTAAATGAGCAGTCATCAACTATGGTCATCACTCCACGAAGCTGGTGCTGCACCATGAAGAATTGGGACTCAAACCCAATGAAGGAGCTGGTTTTGGGACAGGACTGACCCGAATCAGCAAGGCAACCTAGAAACAACAAACTGATCACAGACCTGCAACAGAATTTTCATCATGTGTAAGAAGAAAAACAGTGAACAATGGACAAACAAGTTATGATAATGCAGTTTGCAGTCTAAGATGTATTGAGTTTCTAATTACAGCACTACAATATGCAACTAAAATGCATCTATTATTAGTGATCAGGGAAAACCTAAAGACGTTACATTTTTGCATCCAACAGAGCAAATGAAGTATGAGCTTCTTTTTACAACAATACAAGAAGAGAAAGAAAAGGAGAATAAAGGTAATCCAACCTCATTAATAGTTGACCAAACAGAGCCCTTAGACGTTGACTTAAACAAAATGATTTTGTGAATCCTCCTCCCTCTTTCCTCATATTAACGTGCCCTGAATTTCCCCCTGAAAATGTGAATAACAATATGATCATATGATTGAAACCTCATCACCAATCATCTATGAATAAAGCTTCAGAATAAAATGTTACCAAGATCACTATTTGGGCAACACTTTCTCCCCGTCTGACTTCCTGATGAACGTTTTGCATCAGTCAACACAGTTTCATCACTTTCATCCTCCCCATCACTCATATCCTCTATACCGGCAAGCTCATCATCATCAACACAACCCATCTGAGAACATTGCAAGTTCAACATTTATATCCCACCTCCAGTGCACTGTAAGCAGTTGCTGATGCACCATAACAACTAGGAGATATAAAACCGTAGAACATATTTAATAATGACGAAACAAACGAACAACAAGCAAATATAAGAACCATGTAGTTCTAACTGCTGTAAAGCAAGGATGATAAACTCTCGAGGCTTCAGTACAGTGGCACTGTTGTAGAAAATGTTCGCATACAAATATGCGAATGCAAAATGCAAGAAAGAGAAAGCTAAAGAAACCTCATTGTATCTCGCTATTGTGAAGCACTATATCATAATAAGTCCAACCTATGAACATTGAGGAAAAACCTTTTAGTCTTTATTTAAATTGACATCCAAGAATGACATTTGAAAAATCATCACAATTTTACAGTCTTCTAGTCAAAGGTTTCCCCACATCAATAAGAAGGGGTTTTCACCAGCTATTTTTATTAACGCAAGAAATCATCATTCTGTGTTTTCCACCGTTGCGACTATAGCAAGAGCAAAACCATTGTTTATCTAGTGTAGAGCTTGTCGATCCTATGAAGTGAAATGGCGAGCCTAAGAAAATCATTCAATGCTAGCATAGAAGGTAACCCAGGAAATCCTGCCATCATAACCAACCAGCCAATTATCAAAGCAGTTCCGTTCTGCATTGGGTTTTACTAGTGAAACAACTTTGTCAGAGAATCATGGAAAATAACCCACGGAACTAGGAGGCATAGCATTACGAAAGCAACAAACTTTAAACAAACTAGAACCCAGATTTTAAACTAAAGGATAGACACCAACCCAGTAATACCACATTGAAAATCACCATCACAGATGGTTAAGGGAAACAATTCATCTGAAGTAGCATCCTCAGCAAACGGCAAGCAATTGATATCAGGTCTAGCCTATGAAAAGTAAGAAGAACTGGAAGCCAGACTGAAGCGACAATAACAATGTAGGGAAACAAACCGCAACAAGTGCAACGGGCAGCCGAGGGTTAGAATGATCTTCCGGCGAGCTCAGCTAATTGGGGGTTCGAAAGGTAAAGTCGGGAAGGAAGAAGTAGCGGAGACGAAGACGAGTAATTTGTTAGGGTGTTTTCCGCTTGATCCTCTCGTTGGAATGTCAGGGGAAAGAAACAAACTCGAAGAAAGAAGGGAGAATTAAACGAAGTCGACGAGAGGATTGCCGGATCTGGGGGGGAAGCGATTCAGAGGGAAATTTTTGGTGCCTGGACCCCCAAAACAAAAGGCAATGCCCGAGATCACTAATTCCTTTTTCCGTCTCTCGTCTCGCTTTTGGTGGGGGTGTCCATTTCCCTTTCATTTATTAATTAATAATTTCTGTTGTTGTAGAAAATAATGTTGTTATTGCATTAAATCGAAAAGAATAGGCAAAATTCCGAAAAAAGAATTGGCAAAATACTTCATAAATCATAACTATGAATTTTGTAACAAAAAAAATATGAGAGCGGCAGTTACTACACAAAATCAAAGCTATGAAAACTCTATAAAATTCAAAGCTCATCAGTCCGATCATAGTAGATCTGATAACTCATATTAATCCGGAACACGAAAAAAATGAAGGGATGGACTGGTAATTCTGCCACCTCTAAAAAAAATTTCCTGAGAGTCTGACACGGATCAGAAATTGAAACATATAATTTGTCATCTTCATATATTTGCTTGTTGTTCCGCGTGAGAGAAGATGAACAAGTTTACAAATTTCTTAATTGAATTTTGGCAAAATACACTTCCGTAGCCATAACTATTCGCGTTGTGACAACAATAGCCACATTTTGAAAAATACACAGATATAGTCATTCCGTTCAAAACTTTAACGGAAAGCTGACTAGACAAACGTTTTATAGTTACGTGGCGGCTTTTCATCAAACCTACTGCCAGGTGGAAATGTAAAATTTTTATTGTAATTACATGAGAAACAAAATTTAAATAAAGAAGGAAATAAAAAAGTTCGTCACTCTTCTTCGTCTTCCTTTTATTGTTACGTGGCGGCTTTTCATCAAACCTACTGCCAGGTGGAAATGTTAAATTTTTATTGTAATTACATGAGAAACAAAATTTAAATAAAAAAGGAAATAAAAAAGTTCGTCACTCTTCTTCGTCTTCCTTTTGTCTTCCATCTACCCTCCCATAAACTTTGACCACAACTCTGATTCTTCGATCTACCACAAATTTTACTTCGGCGAGTGCACAGGAATTGGGGAAACAATACTAATCGGAACAAAAGTTCGATTACGAAGCCAGAACCCGTTGATGAAGAAGCAAAAACAGAGGAATCCTGTTGTTGCTCTTGCTGCGAAGAAATACGGCGTTGTTGCCGGTAAAGAAACTGCCGGTTTTGGGACTCCCGCTCAAGACCTCGAAGGCGCATGCCGGAACTGCGACGAGCTCACCAGATCTGCGCATGCCGAAACTGCCGCCAAATCTAGTCTCCTCTTGATCGGTTGTTTGTCAGATGAAATGGCGACGACAACTTCACAGAATCAACAACGTTGGAGAGAAACAAAGGCTCGAACCTGTTGTCAGCGGCAGTAAATGGTCCCGCCGGCGATTAGGGCTCATCAACTTCTCGATCTAGGATTGTTCAAGAAGGAAGTCCGCAATCGTCTTTCTCATCCAAGATTCCCTTCCCAACCATGACAACCGGTGAAGAGAGTGACAAAGGTTTGTAAAAAAAAAAAGAGTGACAAAGGGAATTTGTTTAATTAAAATTTGAAGGGGGGTGAAGAATACGGTGGTTGTGATGTGGTTTGGCTATGAGAAAAGAGAAGGTCGAGTGGCTGTGGAGGGGATCTGGTGAGCTTTTTGTAGGAAATTGTTGTGTAGAGAGGAAGAAGAAGCTTCTCTCTCTTGGATTGAAGTGGACGGCGGGGAAGGAAAGAGTGGAGGAAGGGGAAGGGTTTGGGGCGACAGATGATTTTTTATTTTTGATTTTTTTATTATCACTTTTGACTCATTTTTCGTATTTGTAAGTTAATTTTTTTAATTGAAAATATGACGTGGCTATTTAAGTGGGAATAGTGAGTCTAGGTGGATAATAGGTGTCATCCAGGTGGCGGCCATGTAAGCACACGGTCCTCTAAACTGACGGAACATTTCATGTCGTTAAATTATTTAACGGAAATGGCTAAATTAGTCAAGCAAGTTTTAAAAACATGGCTATATTTGTGGATTTTTCAAAATGTGGCTATTATTGTCACAACGCGTATAGTTATGGCTATGGAAGTGAATTTTGCCTTGAATTTTTGACAAAGTGTATTTATGTACCACCACCCCACAAGGCCGAACTGAATTTGATTGGGCCAAAATTATCAGATGGCAGTTGGGCCTTCATTAACTAGCGCAATAAAAGGAAAAGACCAATTAGATTATAATGGGCTGGGCTACTCCTGCGGCGCCATGACTTGCAAGCAGTCAAACTACAGAAGAGGAGTAAAGAGCAAAGACTGATTTCACCACCGGAAAAAAAAAGCACAGAAATCGCAGAAACTAATTCAAGAGAAGCGCTCTGAAAATGGCTGCGGCAACCAACTTAGCAGCATCCAAAGTTGCGGTGGCCCGGCCGGTGACTTTTGTTACCGGCAACGCCAAGAAGCTGGAAGAAGTTCGCGCCATTCTCGGCCAATCGATTCCATTTCAGTCCCTCAAGCTCGACCGTACTTCCCTAACGCCCCCCTCTTGCACTCCATCTCTCTCTGCCTTTTTTTTCTTCTGAAATCGGAACGCCGAAGAATTAACGATTACGGGTTGTTGGGTGGTTTTTATTTGCGGTGTTTGCAGTTCCAGAGCTGCAAGGCGAGCCCGAAGATATCTCCAAGGAGAAAGCTCGCTTGGCTGCCCTCGAGGTAATGCCTAAACTACCAACGGGTTTTACTGTGTAATCGCCATTGTTATGGGTGCTGAGATTCTGAGGCGTCTGTTTCGCGGTGAAGGTGAAAGGACCTGTCTTGGTGGAGGACACATGTCTTTGCTTCAATGCTCTCAAGGGTCTCCCCGGTATAAGCTCGATTCCTTCGCATTTTCGATCATTCCTTTTGAATTTGATGTTTTGTCTGAGAATCAGAATTTGATTGGCTTTATTCTGTTCTTGCAGGGCCGTACATGTAAGTCTGCTTCTTTCTTACCGGCATTTGTTTAGGTGAAGTCATATTCGTGTTCTTCATTTCAAATGAATTGCGACATTGTGTTGGTTTGTCCTTGCTTGAGTGGTGCTGTAGATTGGTAATTAGTGGTTAAAGCTGAGGGGGTAGTTGCTATTACATTTTACTTTGATAATGATATTGGTAAGGTTGACTGAGGAACTTGAGAGCAAAGGTGCTTTTCGTATCGATAATCTTAAGGAAACATTCACTGTGTTTTGAGTACATTCAGGCCTCTATGATACTTGACTATTCTTCAGACTGTTCACTTACTTTATTTCCCTCTCCCAGCTGGTTTCTAATAATTTAATGTGTTTCTGCATCTGGCAGTAAGTGGTTTCTGCAGAAGATCGGGCATGAAGGTTGTAATTCTTACCGTTTCCCTAAACTCCCATCTTGGTTGGTTTGTTCTTATGACCAATCACTTAGCCTCGAGTTTTTTCTTTCCTTTCTTCAACTTTCTAGGTCTAAATAACATGTTGATGGCATATGAGGATAAGTCTGCATACGCTTTATGTGCATTCTCTTTTGCTCTTGGACCAGACGTGGAACCTATAACATTTGTTGGGAAAACCCCGGTATGCTGTCTTTGTGTTATGTTATTGGTTTCTTCGAATCATGTTTGGATGGGTTTTCTATGCTCTGATTAATAGCCCTTGCCAAGAGTGGAAAGTTAACATTAGCAGCATATCATGTCTAGTTCACATGAGCTAAACTCTATTGAACTCATGGATTTCAGGGAAAGATTGTTCCTGCAAGGGGACCGACTGATTTTGGATGGGATCCGATATTCCAACCTGATGGCTTTGAGCAAACGTGAGTTGAACCTCTTCTATACTTTCATTATCCTTCTTTATCCACATCCAATATGTAAAAGAGAGATGGGGCGACTTCTATTGGTGCAATAGATATGCAGAGATGGCTAAGGAAGAGAAGAATAAAATATCTCATCGCTACAGGGCTCTTGCCATGGTGAAAGACCACTTTTCGGAAGCTGGCTATGTGTTTGATACAGATGCCTCAACAAAAAGTATAAGACATCATACCAAACTTACCACCTTCTCTTAACCTAAGCTCTCTATTTGGCAAGTTGATTGATTCATATCCTCCTGGTTTGAATTTGCTTGCTGGTGTATCAGGGAAAAGGGAGGGGGAGGATGTTGCGAAGAATGGAGACGAGAATGGTGCCCACTGAAGTCCTAGAAAGAAAGGAAGGAAGGAGAGGAGGAACGGTAAGGTGTTTGTTAGTTAGGAGCCTTTTTTTGGTACACCATCGAGTAGGGCAAAGTGGAAGCTGCTGCTTATATCTCTGCTTCCAATGAGAGAGGTGATCAAGCTGGCCGGTTGGTTTGAGTGAAGCTGCTACTTATATCGGTAGTTAAGAGGGATCATGGTATATGGGCAAATTAACCACATGTTTGGTAATTGTTACTCTATAATATGATGAACTAGAAGCAACAACAACCTCCTGGTCTTCCCTTCTGAAGAGCAAATACCAAAGCCCAAATCGAAGGATAAGCACTTTTTTTATCAATGGGTGGCACTGTTTCAAACCGATGAAAAATATATAGTAATAATTTGGGTAATGAGTATTATTAGTCAAACTTTTTAAAGATTTTTTTTATTAGTCAAACTTATCAAAGTACTAATAATTAGTCAAATGTTAACTTTCAGTTAGCAATTTTGTTAGTAATATTATTTTGGCAACATGATTCTGACTTAGAACAGACACATGAAGGTTAACATTTCAAAATTTTAGTATTTAGCTAACAAAAGAGTTACAAAATTATTAATGATAACATTAAAATGGCTAATATTTTGATGCATTACGAAAGATTTGGCTAATTAATAGCATTTTAATAGGTTTGGATAATATAAAATAATTTGAAAAAGTTTGGATAAAAAATAGACACTACCCTAATAATTTTAACCATTAGTATTGGATTAATTGATTTCGTTTGGTTAAAATTGTTACCAAATTGATTTAGGGTGTGTATGGATAGAGTGATTTGGATTTTTAAATGTCAAAGTATTTGTTTGGTTATTACTTACATTTGGTATTTGGATTGTGCTAAATTCATGGGGTGATTTCCAAATACATGTCTAATGTATTACTTGTCAAATTCAAATACATTTCAACAACTGAAATACCTCCTAACAAAAGATTGGATCATTTTGTAAAATTTTAAGTACTAAATTGTAAGAAATAATAAATTTGAGTACTAAACTGTAATTTACCAAATTTGTTAGTAAGTGACAAAAAATTCAAAATTTAAATAAAAAAGCATAAAATTTAAAATACAAACAAATTACAAATGACTATCCAAATAGTTAATTTGAATTATATGTATTTCAAATACATACATTTTAAAACCATGTGTTTCAAGTTGTCACAAGAAATATCCCAACTTAGGGAGGATCGGGGCACCTCAAATTCTCAACCACAAACCGTATATCATGGAAGCACTCCTGAATTCACCACTAGTACCTTTTTCTTTCGAACTCCACGGCTAGATGTTACTCTGACTTAACCAACCAAGTATACCCCAGAGGGATCTACCATAGAAACCATCCTATCAAATTTAGACGCGAAAGTTACGTTTTGTATGTTCTTTAATAGAAAAACATAACTACCATGTAGTGATGGCAACGGAGTAGGATAGGTATACCTCAATACCATACCTGCCCCCGCACCAATTGCGTACCGGGGTAAATAATACCCGCATTGGTCGGGACAAGCAGGGTGGGGCGAGCCACTCTTACATGTTGTTTGAAAAAATTATCCGTAAAATTTTACTTTTTACCATAGAACGAAGGAAACACACTTTATGAATAAAAAATAGTAATAATAGAATAGATAACTTAGTCTAACTAGTGGAAAGATTAAGTCTGATTAGTTGAAGGAAAGTCAAGAGAAATATAATTATAAATAGATAGTGTAAGAAAATATGACAAAATGAATAAAAAGCAATGCGGGACAGAATGTGTTCGAACTTCGAAGTATGACTCGTCTCAAACTATTACGGGTTGGATAATAGTCACCCCATCACGGATCGAATAATACCCAATAGGAAGGATTCAAACTATCATCCTACTAACATGTCTAAATTTCAGAACCTGAGGGACACTTAATCCTAGGGGTGAACAAACACACCCGCAAACCGACCCACCCGTCCAACCCAACCCAACCCACCCGTATTTATCGCTAAAACGAAGGTTTTGGGTTGGGTGACGGTTTTCTTTTGTGCAACCCGCCTCTTTTGGGTTGGGTTTGGATTTTGGATTACACAACCCGTAGAACCCGACCCAACCCGTGTTCCAACTATTAGTATGAGTTTGTATCTAAAAAATATTTATGTCGTATATAGCCATATTTATGTGAAAATTAAGATATTTCGCCATGTTTTTCTATCATGGTCTCCCTAATCTAATGCATTCTTCGACTTAAATTTTAGACATAAATTGAATATAATTATGATTCACGTAATCATTTTTCTTGTATACAATTTTAATAGAATAACATATTATGGATGCATTTGTTTATAACCTTTTTAGCCTATTTCAACAAATATCGTGAAAAAAACTAGACATATGTTGAAATAAATCACATTTTATTAAAACTCAAACAACATTTGTGAATTTTGATACCTTTCACCTCGGTTTATTTGTTTGAAATTTTAATTAGTTATAAAATATTTTTATGGTGTATAATAATTATATATTTTATGTTGGGTTGGGTTTTTACTTACAAATATCGCCAACCCGACCCAACCCAATTAGAAACAAACCGTAGGGTTTAAATTTTTTTGGGTGGGTTTGGGTTTGATAATTCCCAAACCGTAGTGCATGGATCGGGTGATTAAAATACTAAAACCCGAACCAACCGACCCATGTACACCCCTACTTAATCCCCCTTCTGCAAATTTCTGTTGGCAGCAATAGTCCACTGCATCTAGTTATTCTTTTCCAACAAATCCTGTTAAATGTATAATCATTCGCCAACATAATCTAAAAGTAGAGGTGCAAACTAGGATTCAAATCCATGAATCCAATCCAATCCATCCACCAAATTATCCACCTAATCCAATCCATTTAAATCCAATCCATTTGACCCAAATCCAATTGGATTGGTGGATTCATGGATCAATCCATGGATCCAAATGGCAAATTACGATTTGGTACCTATATATTTTATATTTTACATTTTGGTACCTAAAATTTATATTTTTATATGAAAAATATCATTGGAAAATTACATTTTGGTACCTAAAATTTTTCATTATGACATTTTAATACCAAAACTTTTCAAATTTTACATTTTGGTCCAAGCCTTGGATGTCATTTGGATTCATGGATCAATCCACCAATCCACTTGATCCAATCCATGAATCCACCAATCCATTGGATCTAATCCATTTGATCCATGGATCCACCAATCTAATCCACGAATCCGATCCAATTGCCACCTCTATCTAAAAGTTAATGTTGATCCACAATGGTAGAAAGTTCAGCATTATTTCAGAAATTCACCAATATGTTTATAAAGTGGAAAATGGAAAAGATCAACTGAAATATATAAACAATAAAACCTAAATGCTAAGGGTTGAAAGTAATAATCAACTAATAAGAATTGAGACTGAGAGACGACCTAAATGAAATGAAAAGAAAAGAAAAGAGTGGTAAAAGGCCGATCGAGGAGGAGGACTGAAATTGGATTCCAAATCCAAATGGCTAGAGGACAAAGCAGCACGGCAACAGAACAGAACAGCAGAGTTGGGGGTGGCAGCTTTTCAAAGCTTGTTGTGCCGCATAATACGTGGCTCTTTCCAGCATCGGTTTCTCTGCATACAATTAATTTCCTCAACTCCCTAACCCTAATAAACGCCCAAACACCCTTTGCATGTAATGCCACATTTTTTCTTTGCCACCTACTACCAGTACTGCTAATCCATCGTACGTAGCATAGGTTCGATAAAATTCATCCATACATTTCTTCGGATTGAGTTGGGTGAATGACATATGGGTGCAGTTGGGTTGTGATCGGCTCGCAAACGCAAATTTTTTAACTAGTAGTTAGACAAGTTTACTAAAATTTATAATAAATTCTTCGTAAATTATTAAGACTGTATCAATTTAGACACCTTTTCCTACAGAGACGTCTAGTACTTGTATCCAAAATTTCATTACTGCATTAACCAATTATGTAAAAAAAATTCACTTTTTTTGCAACTTAGATACCATTAATATTTTATAATTTGCTTCTCCATATCTAACGGGCATTACACAACATAGTGACCAATAAGTAGTACACAAATATATTTTTTTTTCACCTATAGTAATCGATGGTCAATGTATAGTGTCGGTTAAAAAATACGATAACTATTTATTAGTATAAACTAGGTTAGGACCGCACTTCGTGGCGGACTGGTCAACTTGCCTTCTTGTTATTAAAGGGAATAAAAAGTGAAACTCAGCTTAAAACGCGTACTATTGAGTAAATAAAAGTTTGTTTTTCAAATTGGACTGGACGATGAACTAAAAAATGAGTAATTTATGGTTCAATTGTTACTCGTGATAAACCCATTGCTGAATTATTTAAATAATCATTTATAATTGTAAATGAGAAGACATATATAAATATAATTTACTAATTAGGGTAGACAAAGAAGGCAGAGATGTAAATAAAGAATGAGAGATAAAAGGACAACTGAGGAAGTAACAAAAATCATTATGGCATTATTTAGTTTATAGTTTTTTTTGTTTTACATAATATTGTTTTTTTTTTACAAAGCATTCAACCAGGGAACTGATTAGATCATAGCGGGATTTGAAGTTCAATGTATAATTGATGAATCATAAAACCAAAATAACTTTGTAATTGGTTCACGAATTTCTTCTATCAAATAAACATGTGCTCTACTGTAATCAAAACCTAAGAATAGTTTAGGTGACAGTAGTGCAAATTAACATTGCTCTTAGACAACAGTAAAATGACTTTAGGTTTATATATATTAATTAATAAGAAGCAACTATCTATAATCCTTTGCTTTCAGTTTCCGGTAAACCACAAAAAGATCTTAAGTTCATAACTGTTGGGCCGCATAGTTGAGCGTAATTGGGCTTCTGGCCCAAGAGGGCGCATCCGCAGATAAGGCCCAATAGGAAAACCAGGCCCGATCAGAAGACCGGGTCAGCGGGCAGCCCTTGACCGGCCCCAGACCCGAGAAACAGATAAGGGCGCCTGACATAAAGCGACTGAGCAACACAGAGGAGCAGGGAGCCGTTGAAGATGCGTATCCGGTGTCAGGCAAGACTGGGCATTTATTACAAGCCTCAGGCGGCCTGCAGAAAGGTAAAAAGCCTGTTTAGGGCGCCTGACACAGCCCAGGGCGCCCGACAAGGCATTTAATGCCCCAGCTACCTTCGAACCATGTATAAATACAGAGTAAGTTCATTTATGGTGAGGCCAACTACTACTCATCTCTCTACATAAATTCCCTTATTCTCCCCTTTCTCTCTCTAACTTAAGCTTCGGAGAGTGTCCCGGGCGACCGCCCCGGACCCTTGTTTTTGCAGAGTATTTGGAGTG